TTTGATTTTAATGAAAATCTTAAGTGGAGAAGATTACTATGAAAACGGGTTGGTAATAGGTTAAATGGGCGGGTTTCTAAAGGGAAATTGGGTATTTAAAATTGAGGGTGAGTTGTTTGATTACTATGTTGACAAGTGTCATTCCGTTATAATCAGGGGTATATTTGGCCCAAAAGTGTAACCAAAGGCATATAAAAACTAATTCCTATAGTACAGGGATATATTTGACCCTTTACCATATTTTTTTCTTTTTTAACATATTTTTTTCCTAATTAAAATATTATTGAAAAACACTATTTTTGTTTTATTTCTTCTAAAATCACTTTAATAAATAAAAAACGAAGGAAATATTTATTTTCTTCTTAATGTCATTTTATCAATTAAAATTAAATAACTTCATGTAGCCTTTCGACAAACAATATATGTCTTATATATAAGATCATAATATATGTCTTATATATAAGATTATTAATTTATATTTACATAACGATAAAAAACAATGATAATAAGATAAAAAATATTTTTATTTTTTATTCTTTTTCTGAGATTGAAGTAAGATAAACATTTGCTAATTTTAAAAAGATATTATTAAAAAAGAATGTGTTAAAAAGAAAAGTAGAAAATGACAAATATCTCAAAATTATAACGGAGGGTATCTACATACCATTTACGATAGTTCAGGACTATAGTTGTTCTTTTTTCCAAAAGAAAATAATAATATATTTATTTGAAATATGAGCATTTTTTACCCAGAATTAATAATAAGGGTATTTCTAGATTAAAGTATTGACAACAAGGACATTTTTGTACCAAGCTACAAACAGAGGGCATTTTTGTTCCTATTGCATATTTTAAGGATTTTTGAACCATAGTATTGACGGCGAGGACATTATTGAACAAAACTATAAAAGGAAGGCATTTTTGTTCCTTTTGCATAGTGAAAGGACATTTTTGATCCATATGTCACGAATATATTATCAAGCTAACAAGATCTTCTAACTTCAAAATATATTATTTTATAATGTTTTGAGTTTTTTTTTTATAAAATAACTCATAAAATGTGAAAATATGTGATATATATTATTTATTTAAAATTTATTATTTACAACATAACTTTTATATTCAGTAATGTGGAATAAACATTTTCGTTTTGTGCCTACACTAAATCAAAATCTAATAATTATAAAAAAATATTTGTAACATTAATTAAAAGTCATGTTTATTTTTAAGAATACAATTTATTAGAAATTCAATTATTACACATTAATTCTTTGTCATAACATTATAAATTTTTTTAGTTATTACTAATAATTGCATAAGTTTGTCATGACCCAAAATGAGTCGTGAGTGACACCCACACTTACCCCCCTAGGTGGGCGAACCAATAAGTCTGAACCCCAACATATACCAATAATTCAACTATAAATAACAAAAATAATGCGGAAGCTCCAAAAGTTATTAAGTAACCAATTTAAATAAGTTTCAAAAGTTTGATACTTATTATCCCAAAATCTGATAGTCATCACATCAAGGACATTTATTTCCAAATTACCAAGTCTAAAAGTGTTTAAGAAACCAAAATAAGTAAAAAGATGGTCCATGTACGAAATTTAAAGACATCAAGATGTAAATAAGAGAATCCAGCACGAGCTAGAAATAATAGCTCATCCTAAACTCTGATGTGCTGGAGACTAACTAGAGCTGAGGGCAAGTTGAAGTTGATGGTACACTTGCTGTACTCCACAAAGAACAAAGAAGAAAATACAAGTAGGGGTCAATACAAGGAACACTTACTGAGTAGGTATCATCGGTCAACTCAAAATAGAAATCAATATATAATGAATAATAATATAAAATCAACTACAATACTTAACAGGTGGCAAGCAACAAACACATGAACCATTGACAACAACAACACCATAATAGGTACACCATCAATCACAACATCAAGCACACCTATGAGGACTCATGCCTCCACACCATACCCATTTGGAAAATAGGTTCCTTGAGATTAAGTATATTAAGTTACTTCAAGATTCACTGTCTTTAATTTTATTGTGTCGGAACGTGGCACTCCGATCCCATAATACCGTGTCGGAACGTGACACTCCGACCCCTTAATACCGTGTCGGAATGTGACACTCCGATCCAATTATCTCATTATTGTATTTCAGCAAGCCTTCTTTATTCAAGGCGTCATTTTAATAGAGAGGGTTCAAGATTAGAAATTCAACACTCTCATAATTTTAGGCTAACCACAAAGCACACAATCAAAACATACAACTACACAATCAAGTACATAGGAGACTTTACAATATCACTCAATACATATCAATCGCTATTTAGAGTTTATCTATCAAATAGAAATAAACCATAACCTACCTCTGCCGAAGTCAAGTAACTACTTCTCCAATGCTTTTCCTTTCCTCAATGCTTTCGAACCTTTTCAATCTATCAATTATATATACATAATTTGTAAGTTAAAAAAAAAAACTATAATCACTCGTATTATTCTATGTTTAGCTTAGACCCAAAAATTTCCTAATTTTATAATCAATTTCCTAAGTTCAAATCCAAGGGTAAGTCTTAATTCCTCCCATTAGCATAATTTTAATGTAATTTATATAATGTACTACACCTTATATTTAATTACGTATCAAAATATGTTAAAACTTGAACCATTATGAACATGTCCAATAGAATCGATGACATTCTCTTTTATGCAATTCATTGCAATCTATACAACATATAATTTGTAAAACTAATTAAATCAAACAACCTATCACTATTTGGGTATAAAAAAACAAACTCATATACTAATATTCAAATCCACGTGATTGGCCAACAAGTTTCAACACAATTTATTTTATAAAATTAACAAATAACGTCAATCCTACATTCACCAATGACTGCAAGCTCCAATCCTTTAAAATAATAATTTCCTACACTACATATTCTAATCATTAACTTCTAATTCTTGGCAAAATTTCATGCCATAAATATTCCTACCATTAATTAACAATAACTAGGAGAATTGGGTTCATGGTGTTTCAATACAATATCATACTTATAATAATATTATCCCTACCAATATACTCAGTACACAATATACGCTTGGTTACCTGATGTCGCCTGATGTTTTTCACGTTGCTCCTCCGCAGGTGAGTTTCTTCCTTTCCACTAGAGATTAATTATACCCTAATTATTATATATAACAAATTATAGAAATAGAAAAAGTGACCCACTATCAATTTTATTTTTATTTCCTTTACTCTCTAACTAAACAAATTATTAAAACTATCCCACTAGTTTCATAATTATAATTATGAATAGTCCAAAAGGACCAATTAGAATCTTTTCAAAAATAATGAAAATAAATAAAATAAAATATTTTATGAAACACAAGAATCGGTCACTCGAAACGATCAAAAGATCTTTTATATTCTTTAGCTATAATATTATGAATTCTCATAGTTATTACATTAATTATTTCTATCTTTCATCTTTTATTATATTAAACTTTGACCGATTATTTTTTATATCATTATACCGCCCATATATATGTCATGACGTGGTGTTGTTATTTTTCCTTGGACGAATCATGCTTGGTTGAATAAATTAAAAATCGGTTACAAGTATATAAACTATATCTTTGTAAGGTGTAAGATAAACATGTGATTATATATATGATTTCACATATATAATATATTCTTTAATTTTAAATTTTTAGTTTTTTTCGGTAAAAAAAAAGAAAGGAAACCTTTCTTAGTTAATTCTTTACGGACAAATAATTAATTTTGACTTATGTACATAGTCAATGGAGAAGTCAAATATAAGAGCCAACAACAAGAATGTCATTTATTATGTTATAACTTATAAAATAAAAATTAATGTACAAAACATAGTTCTAAAAAATAAAATATAGTTGTTCTCTTCACATGTTCATATGACATTTAAATCGTTTAATGTGGAATACATGTGCAAAGCAAATCTGGTTAGATGACAAGAAAAATGCACAACAAATATCATCTATATGGTAATATTAGTGAGATATGACTAATTACAAGATTGAACATCATCAAATTGAAATAAGTATATACTTTATTGAAAAGATCCTTAATGTATAACAAAAGGTGTTCGATTTGGTCACTTATCCTAAACCTAATAGATTTATCAAACAAAAATGTTAAATTTAATTATGAACCTTCCGTAGCTAACAAAGTTCACCATTCTTGCCTTCTTTGTTAGCTCAAAAGAAAGAACACCATAAAATCTAGCACTATTTTTTTTCTACTTTCTCCAACAAAATTTACTATGTTCTCTTTTCCAAAATATTATTCCACCGATTTATGTTTTAAGCAATACAAAATAATAAATTTTGTTCGAGAAAGTAGAAACAATGATGTTATATATGTCATGAAGTTCTTTCTTTGTAAATAATAATGAAGATGAAGATGATCAATTTGTTAGCCACGTGAGATCCACAAATAAATTTAACACATTTATTAGTGGATAACTTAGAAAATTTCTACTAGTTTTGAAGTTAATACTTAGATGCATGTTAGTTTGCAATATTATGAATCTTGCTAAATTTTGGTGCAACAAGAGACGTCCATAAAACATGTATATCGTGATACATGAGATCAAATTTAGGTGTAATTTGTTCAAGATATAATGTAGAGAAACTTACATAAATATACTACAAACAAAAAATATTTACCATTTATAGAAATAACATTTCTTTTAACTTTATCACTTTTAAACATTTATAATACACTTTAATTCATATTACAAAAATAACTTATTATTCACATATAATACAAGTTTTATTGATGTATAATACCTTTATCACACATTTTAATACACTTATAATATAATATATCAACTTCTTACCAAACAAGCATAATATATTTTTAAAAATAGTTATAATACATATATATTGCGTACTTAATTTACTTTTCATACACATTGCAAATCTAACATAATATTGCTATAAATGGTAATAAACAAAAGGTATCGCTAAAATAAATAATTATTTATCAAAAGGTATTCTTCCAAAGTAATTTTCCTAAAATTTATCCAAGTTGGTTCACATGTATCTGGTATACATAGACAAATCTCAATAACCACCCTCACATATCACTCACCATTCTCTATCTCGCTCACATATCGATATTCCCGGTTACAAGCGAATTACATCAAATTTATGTATCTAGTGTAATTCACATGTATTTGAGATATATAGACAAATCTTGCTCACCACCTTCATGTTCTTGCTTGTCTCTCTTCCTATTTCAGGATATAGAAAAAATATGTAATTAGGTGTATCTACTTAAAATCTGATATGAAATTATTAATTAGTGAGACAAAATATAACAATTTCAAAGTATAGAGACAATTAATAAATATGGTAGGCATATTGTACAGTTAGATAGTTTCTTCCTTTTAATTTTATAAATCTATTAGGTTTAGAGAAAATGACTGAAATTAACACCTTTTATTATTTAGAAGAACTATTTCAATCAAATAAAAAATATAAAAATGATAAAAAATTAACCATTCGGTTATTTCCTTTATCATTTTTTTGCTAAAATTTGGGAACAAGTACCTCCTACACTATGACCGATATCCCATAGACACACCTTAACTAAACTAAGGTCCTACCACCCCCCTCCAGAAAAATAAAATAAAATAATAAAAACAAAAAAACTCATTTTTTTTGTAATTTGATACACCTTTTGGCTTACGTGACACACTCCATGACACCACACAGTTGAGGTGCAGTGGAGATGTTTGGATGCCACGTAAGCTAAAAAGGTGTACAAAATTACAAAAAAATGGGTTCAGGGGGTATTACGTGTAAAACCCCGGAAATTTTTTTTCGAACTAAGACTTGAGCCGTTAATCGTAGTGAGTGAGATTTCACCAAGGAATTAAAAATTTCTTAAGTAATAAGATCATTTCACTAGATTTAGAACCTTGAGTTCCAAAAAGAATTAAATTAGAAATGCCAGTTAAACTAACAATGAGTTTTTTGTCAACTTCAAACGGCCATAAGTCCTAGTACAAAATGTTTTAGATGTGCTACAAGATACCATAGTATAGATCTTTGAATTATCTTTCCAACTCTGCCGAGTTTGATAAGTTTCAAGTTCTAATGAATGAGATATGAAATTTAGAAGTTAGGCTGTCCAATTAAGGAAAGTTTTTAGTCATATTTTAGGGTTATAATCCTTTTTGGTTCAGTTTATAATCCTAAAATACGCTTAGGGTTATAGTTGAGAGTTCAAGAAGAGGCAAGAAGAGAAAAGAAGAGAAAAGAGGAGAAAAGAGGAGAGAATCAAGCGTTCATCAAGATTCTTGCGTCTTGTTGTGGAATTTCGCCATGGATCTAATCCTTAAGCGGTATGTAAGCTTCCATAGTGTTGGGTTTGTTCGCCCACATGGCAAACATGTTATTTTTAGCGTAATTTCATTCTAAAAAAGTTGAAGGATTGAAGTTCTTGTTAGGTGTCCTTGAGTTTCATCGTAGATCTTGTCTTGTTGGAGTTTTGATGATTTCTTGAGATGAAAGTAATTTTTTGGAGTATTTTTTGAGTGTATTATTGTTTACTTAGGTTGGTAATTGAATCTAAGGAAACCTTGAGAAAATAAAGCGATTAAAAGCGATTTAGGGTTAGAAAACCAGAGCAAAATTCATCGAAAGCATGCTATGGGGATGCTGGCGCAACGCACCTGCAGTGTACCCAAAGTCACTCTCTGATGCTAAGGGCTGGCGCCCGAAACGCGCTAGGGTCATCTGCCCCCACTCTTAGTTCGTCAGTTGTCCCGTTTAAACTAATTTAAAGTGTATCTTCACTTCTTTTTATTCTAAATACTTTAAACTACTTCTAAATACTTATAAATCATTCATAACATGAATCATAACCTTGAAAAAATAATTCAAATTCAAGTTAAAGTCAAGATTAAGTTTTGAAAGTTCTTCAAAACCTTTTGGGAGAGTCCGTTCGAGTCCTTTTGAGGAGTCTTCTACAACTTCTAGTAACTTGTTCCAAGACTCAAGTAAGTGAGAATGAGAGTGATGAGAATGTATTCATAAGTCTACAATATCACTTAGATCCTTCATATCATGAACCATGACTCTTTGAATTCATAATTCACATTCAAGAGAGGGTTAAGAGTAGAGTTCAAGAAAGATTTTAAGTTCAATTGTCAATTCTATGAGATCTATAATTGATTGAACTAAGTTTTTAAGAAGTAAGTAAGAGAATGAGAAGATTTGTATACATGAGTTCCATCTAGTTACTTAAACCTTCGAGTCGAGTTGTTCATGACCATAACTTCCGCATGAATACCATAAAATGAGTATCATTGAAGAGGAGTAGTATCTCCAAATTCTAACTGTTGAATAGTAAGTTTCTAACACCTTTGAAATTCTACTTCTAATCATGTGACTATTAAATGTTATACATGAAGTCCTTGAGTGGAATTGTTCATGCCCATAATTCTACATGAACCTTATAAGTCGTACAATCCTTAGATAAGGAGCACCTTTGAGTTTTTGAGTTGAGTAGTTCATGCTCAAAATTCTGCATGAACCCTCCATGTTGAAAATCATGAAATTATTCATAAACATAAGATCAAGAGCCTTGAATCTATACTTCAATTCAAGGAAGGTTAAAAGTCAAGTCTAAAGGCTAAGAGTAAGAATAAGTAAAGTTCTTAAATGTTTTCAAGAGTCTTATTTAAACATTTTAACTTTGTTTTATAACCCACATTTCAAGCTAAGTAAAGAGTTAAGTTGAAGTTCTCTTCTTCAAAGGTATATGGGGACAATCATGTTTTTAAAAAACTTTTCTTTTATATTGCACTTGTTTTAAACTGCTTTATATTGAAATGAGTTCAGTTGAGTACCTTAAGTTGAGTATCTTAAGTTAATTTGTGCTTCACTGAGTTGAGTATCAATTTTTTGAAGTTTAGTATCTAATCCTCGAGTTTAGTATATTATTCTTAAGTTGAGTTGAGTGTATTTGAGAAAAGATAAGTATATTTCCTTTTTATTCAACTTTCAAGCTTATATTATTCTTAAGAATTTCCCTTACATGCTCGTACTTTCCATCTACTGAGCCATTTGGCCTGCATCTTTTGATGATGTAGACACAGGTATTCAGAATCATCAACAGGAGCTTCGTTGATATATCTTAGATTTTGAGTGATCCATGGTGAGCCTCCTTATACCCGAATGATTTCATTTACTTTTCAGTTTAGTCAGAATTTCGTTGGTCTTGTCCCGACTTACATTTTTATCAGTTAGAGACTTCATAGATAGTTAATATAGTTGAGGAGTCTATATTAATAATTTACTTTGTTAAATGTTCCAAAGACTAAAGTTGCCTATTTTATGGCTAGTTGAATATATTATTTGTATTCGAAGTTGTTCATTTCAGTTTTAAGCTTTTGTTAGCTTAAGTTAGTCTTCCGCTTGTAGTTAGCCAGGATGAGGGTTTGCTTGGGGACCAACAATGGTTATCGGGTACCAACCACGTCCAAGGTATAGTCTTGAGTTGTGACAAACTTGGTATCAGAGTACAGAGTTTAAGTTTCCTAAAGCACTGTCTATGAAGCCGTGTCAGTAGGATCTTATTTATTGTTGTGAGGGTATCACTTCTATGAATGAATTACTATAGGCATTTAAGAAAAGTTTTTCTTCTTTCATACTCTTAATCGTGCAATATATATGAGTCATAGAGAACTATTCTAACTCGTGCGTTCTCATATTCATTTGACTACCCATCATGCTACATGTATTTGAAAAGTAAAGTTTAAAGATACTTATGGATGAATTGCTCTTAGCAAGATTCTTGAGAAAGTCATGAGACTCTAGGGTCTTTAAATAAGTCCAAGAGTTAGTTAAGTGTTCAGTTTCAAAGGAATGCACCCATATTCACTTGAAATGGTGCGTTTGAGCTAAAAAGTGAGTTGTACTCTTTCTTTTAAGCCTTGTTTCAACTGAGATACTTTTTAAGAAGTATGTTTAAAGCTTGGGTAAGATTTTCACGCGAAAGAGTAGCATGAGTTATGAGATCATGAGTAGTATTAATGAAAGAGCCATAGTTAGAGGAAAGTATGCAGAGGTATACAAATCTATGAAAAGGAGATGGTGTTTTGGCAAACTATGTTGGTACACTCATGAACCTAATAAATTATTAATTATAATATCCCCGTGGGTAGACAAAGAAGTGATGAGTTGTGAAAGGCTCAGTATAAGAGGTAGAGTAAGTGTTGCAAGTCAATGAGTTAGAGTATATCTTACTAGAAATGGGTTATGATGATGTGTCATTGTGTTAGTAATGACTAAGTGTAAGTGGTGAATATATATAAAAGAGACATAGTATTCATAATGTGATAGATTAGTCTAGGCTTATAAATTTTGAAAGGAGAACCTCATGGTATTAAGAGGATGATAGAGTTATTTGACAAATAATGTGAAGTAAGTAAGTAAGCAGTACTTAAGTTGTGAAGTCGAATATGATAGCAGTTCTAGTATGCAGACTGAAAGGTAAGGATTGACTAATTGTCATGAGGTCTTACACTACAAAAGGAACCTCAATTACCAACAAAAAAATTCGTTGGTAAATTGATCAAATCGGTTGGCAAATTGAGTTACCAACCAATACCAACTTATATTAATCTGTTTCTAAAAAGCTCGTCAATAAATATTACCAACTGATTTTAATTTGTTGGTAAACTTACCAACCAAAAATCAGTTATTAAACACCCGAAGATGTTACAAAATTTTGAAATATGGCCCTAATATTTCTGTTGGTAAATTTACCAATTAATTTTTGGTTAGTATATCGTTAGTACCTTTACTAACAAATTGAAACGAATTAGTAAATTTTTTTCTTTATTTTTCGATTCATACATTGGTAATTGGCTAGTGATTTTAGTAACAAAAAATTTTGAGTTTGTAATTTGCGAATAAATTTTAAATACTTTTGTTATTTTTTTTATTGTTTTCCATCTGATGTTCGGTACCCACATTGGAGCCCAACTAAATCTGGATTTACGCCGGAAAGTCTCACATTAGATGGTAAAGCACTCCCTAACAAAGATCATTATGTACCCATCGAGAATCGAACCTGAGACCTCTTATTTAGGATGCAGATGTACTTAGCACACTACAACCCTTGTTTGTGATAAATTTTAAATATGTTAGTATAATTATTTAATTTTCTAATAAATTTTCTAATTGATTATTAGTTTATTGGTTATCATTAAAGTTCAAT